ACCAAACGAGCCAGTAACCTCGTAATCCACACTGGCTTCATCTCAACACCATCATCGGTTCCCTCACATCGAGATTACCACCAATCAAACCCATTGTGACCTCCTCATGCTTCACTGCCAATTGCTGAACTCATGTGGCCATTGGAGCCTCATTGTTTCCAAGCTCTATGGCTAGGAGCACCACTACCACCGAGCAACTATTGAACTTGGGATGCACTCATCCGATCATCCATCTCAAGATTGGCAACCCACAACCCACATCTCTCGTTGACCAATGGTCAACCAACTCAAAGGTGTAGCCCATCCAATCCATGATCGCCATGTGTCCAATCAAGAGCCCAGATGATGGAGTTTTTCAATCTAGCCCCCACAGTCCTTGAAAAATATACCTGTCATGCTATGTGTCTTGTATAAACTTCTTGCTACCCCAAGAAGCTATGTTTAATCCTGTTTTGGTCCCTGCAGAAGTGTTTCATAAGTTTTAAAATGATTTATACTTTATAATGATTATGTTAAAAACATTTTAAATGAATTTTCTTATATAAAAATATTTATGAGAAAATATTATGTTTTATATTTACAAAAATGTTAATAACTTGTTCTTTACTTATAAAAAATAAACATGTTTAAACATATCTTGCCTTGTAAAAACAGTTATAAAAGTAATTTAACTTACTTTGTTTTATAAAAATATAGCTAAATCTATTTTATCGTGGCAAAATATTTATAAAAATGGATTTGTTTATTTTCTTTCTACAAAAATAAATAATAATATTATTAATATCTTTTCCATAATGAAAATAATAGGAAAAATAATTGTAAAATGGTTTAAACTATTTTGTCTTTGTAAACTAATTAGAAAAATAAATTTATATATTTTGTTGTTATTCCCATTTATGATGTCATTAATGTTTTTTCTTAACAAAATAATTCTAAAAATGGTAATTTTGCTAAAAGACCCTTTAAATTTTAGAAAATAATTTTGAAGCCTAAATATTTTATATTTTAGTCCCTGATTTCATAAATATTGCTGAAATTTCAAAGGCTCATAACTTTTGAGCTATAGCTCTCTTTTAAGCAATTCATGTGATCATGAGTTCTTAGTGACATGTGGGGAAAATTAGTTACCTTTATAGATTGTTTTTGTAATGCTTGAGGTTTATTTTGTACTACTTATGATGGTTACCGCTAATGTTAGAAGTTGAGCAATACGAGCAAATCTTTGGGAAGGGTGGCCATTAGCAACTATTATTGGAGGACAAGTGTAACATGAGCACCCCTTGTTACCTAATAATTTTATAAATAATCTTTGCATATGCGTGTGACTAATATCATGAAACCCTAAGGACCTTACTTATCATTCTTGTACCCTATATATGCATAAGGGTAGTTGGCTTAACCTACAAGGTGGCAATCACTAATGTATAATTTTAATTTGACTAATGACTTAAGAAATCAATGTTAAATTGATGATTTTTACTAACATGGACAACATGCACTACTACAGAAACGTTATCACCATTAGTTCGAAACCCCTATCACCACAGGTTTTGTTCCCCGGTAGTGAAATGTCGATGGTGTTAACCCTGATTATCACCATCAGTTTGAAATTGGCAGTGGTAGTCGGCTGTCACCTTTGGGTTCATGCTTGATCCAGCTATGACGACACCATGGTCACCGCTGGTTCGTAGATTTATTCGACGTTGATGATCCTCTAATCATAGTCTGTTCATAGGATGATGCAGCGGTGATGTGCGTTTGGTTACCACCTTTCAGTGGTGCAATCCGACAGTGAGGTGTTTGGTCACCATCGTACCAGTCAGTGGTGCAATCTATGGCGATAGTAATTGATCAATGTTGGATCTTGGCTTAATTCAGTGGTGATGAGACAATGAAGACCATCGGGTCACCGTTTCATCCGGCAGTGATGAGCATTTTGTCAACACTAGTAGGTTGTCCTTTGGTAGTGATGACTATTATTTCAATGTCATTAAATTGGTTGATCCAATGATAATGACCATGTCTTCATCATCAGAATATTCTTTCATCTGGCAATGATAACCCCTTTCACAATATTTACATATTGAACAAACCATAAAGATGCATTCATCAAATCCATACATCTTGTCCGGGAACAAGTTTAAGTATTAGAAGAGCAATCCAAGCTAACACAGAATGTGAGGTAAGACATGACCAGTATGAGCAATTATACTACCCAAGCTGCCCCTTGATTACATAACATAGTACTCCCCACATGGACTTACATAATGAAAGGAGGTAGCCACTAAACCATTCTACACTACTAAGATAGAATGGAGCTATGCTACTCGATCTTCACTTGGAGCTTGAAGGCATGAATTGAGAGGAAGGTGTGAGCCTCTATTTATAGATGGATGGAGGTGTGTACCCATGGATCCATGTGCTCTCCATCTCCTCCCTTGATCAAACCAACTTGAATTGGATGATCATGATCACTTGGAGTTGTGCTTCTTTGCATGTGGGACCATGCACCAAGGTACTGGGTGCAATAGGTCGGTCGGTTGACCTAGGGGGGTTTAGCCAACCCCCTCTCTGCCCTACGGGCACGCCTCCTCTGATGTGGGGGGTCCTCACTTGGTGTAGAGTGGCATATGCTAAAAATTCTACCTTGGCACATCGGTTTGAGCAAATGTGGGACCATCAATCCATGTGACTTCATCTTCCACTCTTGAGAGAAAACACAACTCACATCTAAGGGTGGAGAATCACTTTGGGAGGTGTCACATGGATCAAGGGAGCTTGGGGAAGCTATGGGCCCCATAGGGGTGGTCGGCCAACCCCCCTATATGGGTCCCACCTACTCACATTTCTCCATTTCCTATAGTTTTGCATCAAATACTCCATGGACATGTGGAACTTGTTATTTGATAAAAATATGCTTATGTTAGGCTTATCTTCCTTTTATTCTGAGGAAGTTGACGATGTTTTGATTATGTAAAATAATGACATTTTCACCATCAACAAGAGTCGGCCAGGTAGCCGCCAAGCCAATTCACCTACTGGCTCCTCCTCCTCCCAAGTCGGCTTAGCTGGCCCCCAGTGAACTTGCTAAGCCGATCGCATCTTGTACTTGGTTGGCACAAGCCACGTGCTTAGGGCCTGTTAAAACTGGCTTAGCCGACTCCCAACTAAGTCCAACTCATTTTGGTTTCCAAATCAGTTTTGGACCCTTTTTCAACGTGGGAAATTTGGAGAACGTGTTTTGGGAATATTTCCTACTAGGATAATACCACCCTCCCTCTCTATACATAAGAGGATCATGGCCAATTGAGTATCTCAACTTTCAATTGTCAAAAACACAACACATACCCCTTTTCCCCTGTTTTCTCTCTACCTTGATGTTCATCATGTCTCCCGGCAAGATATGGCGGTGGCCTTGCCAACCCTAGGACACCCTCCACGTGCTCCTCCCTGACAGGTCTTCCCGAGAGGCGTTCGAGAGTCTACCACGTGAAGAACGGGCTCAACATCGGCCTAACTAGTCTCTCGATCGGTTTCGTCAATCCGCTGCTTTCTTGATGTGATCTAGGTTGTTTGCAACCTCGGGCGTGCTAGTCCTTGCTTGTATGTGATCCGGATCCCTATTCGGCGTCAACAAATACAAGGTTTAGAGTTCAGTTGCCAACCTATCACGGAGAATGGGAGGTACATTTTTTTTTGTTAAGAAAAATATAAAGGAAACAACAGGAGATTAGGAACTAGAAGAATGAAATTGGATTTGAGGCGATACAGATTACCAGCATGAGTAAAAGGCATATACATGAGCTCAGGCTATATATGATGCTTACATAAAAAATACAATATTGTATAACATATATGTCTCGAACATGAGACACCTACATGAAAAGGGTGAATCACATCACTACGATATTTTGGATCAGTGTCGTTATTGTGGAGTGGAATTCACCTACACTGATGCACATCTATCGTGGTATATCAGTTGATGATATGAACTCTTGCTCCAAGCAGTAGCATCTTGTACTTGGTTGGCACAAGCCGATGTCCTCTAGAGGAAATGACTGATCAATAACATCTCTAGGTCTTGAATATATCAACTGATGGGGATCTTTAACAGTCGGGAGTGGAACTCTATATGACTTCAACCTTTTTGTTTTTATAGTCTGTAGTGCCATCTCAACTTCCTTCATAGTAGGTCTCTCCTCACCTTTAAGCCTCAAACACATCTCTACAAGTGAGGCAACACTTGTAATCTCTTCCTCATCTGCTTCTTCACGAACTTGAACATCATCTATCTCTATGATTGGCCTTGTCTTGAACTCAGAAAGAAAGTAATGGGATATATTTTGCATTGAGCCTAATTCATTTGTAAAAATTGGTTCCCTTCTTAGGAGCATCTCTAGTATCACAATGCCAAAACTATATACATCGCTTTTTTCATTTAACTGTCCAGTTTTGTAGTACTCTGGATCTAAGTAACCAAAAGTTCCTTGTACATGTGTAAAAATATGAGTTTGATCGATAGGAACTAACCTAGAAGCTCCAAAGTCTAAAACTTTAGCGGTGTAGTTTGCATCAAGGAGTATATTAGATGACTTGACATCACGATGAAAGATTGATACTGAAGCTGACGAGTGAAGATAACAAAGGGCCCCTACCGCTTCAATGGCAATTCTTAGGCAATCATCCCAAGACAAAGCAAAATCACTTTTTGAGGTGGAATGAAGAATTTGGAATAACGAACCATTAGGAACAAAGTCATATATAAGTAATGGAACCTTGGTTTCGAGGCAGCAACCAAAAAGTCTCACGATATTCCGATGGTTTATTTGTGAAAGAATGGTGACCTCATTGATGAATTCATAAATCTCACTTTGTTTGATTGTCGTTGACTTTTTTATAGCCACAACACGTTGATCAGATAAGATGCCTTTATAAACCATCCTGTGTCCACCTTCACTAAGGATACGTGCGCGATCAAAATTGTTTGTTGCCTTTTCTAGCTATTCCAAAGAGAAGATCTTTGTTTTTTCAATGGCATTTTCATCTGGGGATAGTAACTGTTCAAGTAGAAGGCCTTGGTTCTCCCATAAATACTTCCCCCGCACTTTCTTTTCTATATCTCTTCTCCATCTACGGACGAGAAGTGTTACACTGACGCCGAAAAGTAGAATTCTGAAACTTACGGAAAACCCAATGGCAACACCTGCATGAAACAACTATACACTCAATTTTTTTTGTTTCTCCACATCCATAAAAAAATTAATTGAGTAAGGACTCACCCATCTGGGGACTTATTATAGTAATGGGATATACTTTGCATTGAGCCTGACTCATTTGTAAAAATAGGTTCCCTTCTTAGGAGCATCTCTAGTATCACAATGCCAACTATATACATCGCTTTTTTTCATTTAACTGTCCAGTTTTGTAGTACTCTGGATCTAAGTAACCAAAAGTTCCTTGTACATGTGTAAAAATATGAGTTTGATCGATAGGAACCAACCTAGAAGCTCCAAAGTCTGGAACTTTAGCGGTGTAGTTTGCATCAAGGAGTATATTAGATGACTTGACATCACAATGAAAGATTGATACTGAAGCTGACGAGTGAAGATAACAGAGGGCCCCTACAGCTTCAATGGCAATTCTTAGGCAATCATCCCAAGACAAAGCAAAATCACTTTTTGAGGTGGAATGAAGAATTTGGAATAACGAACCATTAGGAACAAAGACATATACGAGTAATGGAACCTTGGTTTCGAGGCAGCAACCAAAAAGTCTCACGATATTCCGATGGTTTATTTGTGAAAAAATGGTGACCTCATTGATGAATTCATAAATCTCACTTTGTTTGATTATCGTTGACTTTTTTATAGCCACAACATGTTGATTAGATAAGATGCCTTTATAAAACCATTCCATGTCCACCTTCACTAAGGATACGTGCGCGATCAAAATTGTTTGTTGCCTTTTCTAGCTGTTCCAAAGAGAAGATCTTTGTTTTTTCAGTGGCATTTTCATCTGAGGATAGTAACTGTTCAAGTAGAAGGCCTTGGTTCTCCCGGAAATACTTCCCCCTCACTTTCTTTTCTATATCTCTTCTCCATCTACGGACTAGAAGTGTTACACTGATGCCGAAAAGTAGAATTCCGAAACTTACGGAAAACCCAATGGCAACACCTGCATGAAACAACTATACACTCAATTTTTTTTTGTTTCTCCACATCCATAAAAAAATTAATTGAGTAAGGACTCACCCATCTGGGGACTTATTATATGTCTTTTAACCCAATGGCACCCATTTAGCTCATATGGATTTCCGTGGTAGCCATTCATGCACTTGCATCGGTAGCCAATGTAACCGTAGCTGTTGTCAACACCAGTTTCGTTGACGCTCAAGCATGAACTGTTCACTACTACAATAAGCATTTGTAGGAGCGGCTGGCGATGGTTCGTAGATGCAGCTCGGCCAACCGCCTCTACCATATCATCTCTACAAAATCATGTATTTGTAGGGGCAGTTCTCAGATCGTCCCTACAAATCAATTTGTAGAGGCGGCTGATGTTATCAGCCGCCCCTACAAATCGATTTGTAGGGGCGGCTGGTAACATCAGCCACCTCTACAAAATCAATTTGTAGGGACGACCGTAGTACCAGCCGCCCCTATAATACCTGTTTGTAGCGGCGGTTCAGTCTAGAACCGGCTCTACAGTATATTTTTTCGCCAAAAAAAATTAAATTTACAATTCAAATTCGACCAGAACATATATTTTTCATGCACAACTCCATCATGACTTATCTTCTTCTGTGATTGTACTAAAACTCAATGACAATACACATTTATTTATACCAGATTATAACAAATATTTCATGACTTTTAGGTGGACAGTTTAGTCCAGATAAATGAAACAACAAATTTCATCTATTAAACTTTTCAGTAATCGCAATAACATTTCATGGTGACTATGATTTTTATGTGAAAGACCACGGAATAACAAAATCAATGGCGCTCAGATCTAGCAATCGAACATCACAAAATCAGAAGCTTCTAATAATCCTTCCACTTGCAGAGTTGCAGTCACACATCAGGTCAATGTAGCACTAAAGCAGACTAAAAACAGAATTCGTAATCTGCAGGAACTGAAGCGAACGAGTGGTACTCACTGTGACTGCTACTGGTAGTGGCCATGACGGTGGCCTGTACATGCTTGCTTGTGGCAGCGAAGATGATGCGCCATCAGCAGATCCTCCATCTTCTCCGTTTGCGATTTAGGTCCTCCGACCGACCGAGAACGTAGCCCCATCACCACTGTCGGCCAGAAAAATATGAGGGAGGGTGAAAGCACGAGCTGTGGACCTAAACAACAGCAGAAGCATGAAATCCCGGCTGTTAACAGAACTATTATGAAACCTAGCACGTTGATTCGTGCTTTGACACCAAGTAGACTTAACAGTGCTGCAGCAGACTCCAACCTGTAAAAAAAGAAACAGCTGCAACCGACCACCACAAAATCTATTTTAAAATGAAAGTAGCTATAGATTTTAGGGCTGCATGAAACGATAAATCACTAGGCTTTAATAATTTTGACAGAAAAGACGATGTAGGAAACTTTAATGGTGAAGCTCCCTCTAATGTTTCAGAAGAATTGTGATGTTCAAAACATAAACGATGCATGTTCACACATTTTCCAATACTTATTTACCATTAAGGAGGCAGGGAGCAGGGGTTATAACTAGAATTCTTGAGGGAACACAAATGATGCAACTTGAAACCATGACTGCACCTACAAAAAATTAATATCATGTGGCAGAGAGGCCATGTATGTGGCATGTATCAAACAGGATCCATGGATAAACATTGATAATAGAATTATTACCGTGTAGCAGTTTATATTTTTTGGATAAGTTAGGATAATTTGTACATATTGTAAAATGGGGCCACCAAGTTCCTTTTACATGTGTATGCATGCGCGTAGGATCTAGCTAAGTAATTTGAAGGCTAACTAATTAACTTTTTCCATGTTGGTACACAGCCTAGACTGCAGCAGGCAATTTTCAATATCCTTATCATCATCCTGACTTCTATGACTCAAAGAGGCAAAGGCAGAAAAAGTGACACCAAGTTCCAGGCATGAGTAAGCGAGAAAAGTTAATTGCATCACCCTACATAATCTATGTCGTAAATCTAAAGCCCTGGATAACATAATAATAGGAAGGGTACTATAGCAGTATGAAAACACACCTCTCCTTTGAAGAAGCTAGAATATGTATAAAATACAGAATCCACTCAGGAGGTACCTGAATATGTTTGAAGGACATAAATAAACCTTAAATTAGCAAAACTTAGATGATATTAGGTTGTGGCCATCTGTACGTTTGTGAAATAAAATTGCTGCACAACCTTGTAGCCTGGTGGGATGGGGGCATATTTGGCATCCGAAGCAATATTAGATTCAGTTTGTTTTTCATTCTCATGAAAAAAAAAGAGATATATCATACAGCTATATGTCAGTAGTAGGTTTGAGTACATACGATGGGCTGACATGGCATCAGCTAGTATTTGAATGTAAATGTATGTCCATGGGGTCCGAAAACCACAAAAAGATTATTCTTGGGTGGAGATGTAAGGAGCAAGAAATACAGATCAAAATCAAGGGAAAAGATACGACCAATGTGATTCAACAAAATGTTGGAAGCCATTAAGATCTAAGGAAATAAGACCAGGCCAGGACAGGGCAATAAAAAAATCATGAGTTTCAATGACCACTAAGAATATGATACCTCCTCACTGCATTCGTTGAGAACATCACCATGTCCATTGGGAATTTGAGGTCACCTTGCAAAACAGAGGGTAGAAAGTAGCAGCGTACATTTGTTCCTACAATTCAGCTCTACTTGGAGTAGGAGCTATGTGACCACAGGCCTAAAATCCACATGTATTGTAAATCCCTATGCGCGCACCAACTTTGCACAGAAATTTCTACCTGCGTTGTAAAAGGAATATCAAAAAACTATGCTGAAAGAAAGGAAATGATATGATCGTTTTACTTTTATATTTGACAGTAAAAAAGACATGCTCTTTTCATTGTTTGATTGATGAACCACTCATATAAACCTGTAAAATTTATAAGATGTAGCTGAAATCTACAATAGAAAGTTAAGACCACTCTGATAATCTGTAGCTGAAAGAAAAGTTTACTCACTGAACACTTTGACAGTCCCAATATGACATATCTTTTATCCTTTCTCTTGTGTCCATGAGTCATGGTCAAATATATATTGCCAAACCAAAATTCAGAGAACATATAAGAACCTAAAACATATTCAGGAAACGGCAAGAGCACCAATTCTATAATTAAACTACGTACCAAAGAGGCAAACATTGGAAAGGTGTACACGTAAGAAACCTAAAATCTATCGAAGTCATACCAAGAGCATCAGTTTCTGTACTCGTCATTATGCACTTTATCTCTGCAATTTGAATCTCCTTTAAAAGCATGCAAAAAAATTTGTACACGGTTTCAGTAAATGCATCCTCATTAGATTAAGTCGCTAATCAAATAGAAGCAATGACCGGGGAAAAATTATTGCATTATTCTATTAGTATCCAGTCAAATATATATTGCTGAACAAAAAAATAAAGACATGCCTAGAGTTACAGGATTGAGGAGTAGGAAGAGGAGAGCTAGAGACGTGCCTAGAGTTGGAGCTAGTAGCAGTGGGATGAGAAGAGGCGATCGCAGATGAGCTCATCTCCTCGGCATCGTTGGCGCCGGCGGCCCAGGTGCGCCACCGCCGAGGGGCCCTATGTGCCACCGCCTAAAACCCTAACCCTAGCAAAGGCAAGGCAAAGAATTCGGTAAAGCCAAAACAAAAATTGAACAACAAAAAATCACGAACTGAGAAGGCTGCCGATTAGATCGAGACCGTGGAGAAGGCGAAGAAGTGTCGTCGCCGCCGGTTACACGGAAGAGGCGGCGATGGAGAGGAGGGCGCAGTCTTGTGCTGGAGCCAGCAATGCACATCAAGCAGGAGGAGGTCGAGGTGCCTGGTGGTGCATACTGGAGAAGACACCGTCCCTATCCTATGGCCAGATCGTAAAGAAAAACCGTTGGATTTTAGGTGCTTGCCAAACCCGTCTGCAATATTTATCTGGGAGCGATCGAGGAGGGTTGAGGCGGAGGGGAGGAGAGGGGAAGCTGACATTTCCGGGAAGAGAGGAGAGGGAGGAATTAGAAAGAGAGAGAGAGGCTAGGGTTTCGTGGAGCATGGGTGCGAGATCTTGCTCGCCGAGCGAGGAGGCAACAAGGGGTGGGAGGCACACAACGGCGAGCCCTTCAAGTAATATTAGGGAGCAGCGTGGCGCCATGGACGGAGTCGAGCGAGCAGCAACTGGTCCCATGGCCGACGCCATCCATCCTCATGGAGAGTTCATAGGACGACATGGGCGCCATCGGCCAGCCAATTATCTGTGCCTGCCAATTATTGTAGAAACTCAGTGCTCTCATGGCTAGCATGTGGAAGGATCCATCAACGGACAGCGCGTGCAGTGGGCCCAGAGCCTAGTGATGCGACCTGCCAAGTGAAATGACGCGATGGGGGAGGAGGAGGAGGAGAAAGCGCTTCATCATGAACAAATCGTCGTCATCCATGAGGTCCACGGAAGAGCCATGCATGCCGCCAGTATCTTATTAGTCCATCGAGGGAGAGAGGGAGCGAAGAGGAGAGAGACCGAGAGAGGAGGGGGTGCAGAAAATTTTCTTCAAGGTGGCATATTTTGTCTGTATATATATCACCATGAAGGCCGGGTATTTGTAGGGGTTTTTGCTCCTTTGGTGATTCAACCGCCCAATACAAATGGTCGAGGTAGCTTTCAGGCGTTTCTGGTTTTCGGGTTTCTAGCTTTTGGCATTTTGATTGACTTTTGTAATAAATTTTAGCTTCTTACGTACAAAAAAAAACTCCTCTTAGCGCCAAATCAATCAAATCAACAAATCGAAAATCGTATTTGTAGGGCGGTCAGATACCAACTGCCCCTCTCCTGGATCTGTAATTTGTAGGGAGGCCTTTGATCCTCGGCCAAATGGGCTCTAATTTTTAGTTTAGAAATACCTTTAGTCGCTGGAGCTCAAGCACGTCACTGTAAGGACGGCTCCAATGCCAGCCGTCTCTAAAGAAAGAAAAAAAAAACCCCATTGCTATAAACTGTTTTTTACGTAGTGGTTGTCGCTAACACATGCATAGCTCGATGTATTTCTATGTGCCTCTTGGCAGGTAAGATTGGCGGCAACCCAATAAAGAGCAAGGTCAGAGCTCTTTATACTGGAGAAGACACCGTCCCTATCCCTATGGCCAGATCGTAAAGAAAAACCGTTGGATTTTAGGTGCTTGATGTGCACAAACCCGTCTGCAATATTTATCTGGGACAGGTAGTGATCCTTGTCAAACATAAGGGTGGAGGACGTGATATTTGTGCAGTTGAGTTGAAACTGAGGCCTTGCAGAGCATCCTGGTTCCAGGCCAAATGGAAACGGGACATGAATGTTTCCACATTTCCGGCGGCAGTTCACCTTTTGTGGAACCGGACTGTACCCTGTTGTCATGTGAAAATTTAAAACTTAATGACCATTATTAATTGAATTAAAAAGCAACGACAACAGTTAAAAATATTTACCTTGAGAATCACGTTTGCAACCATCGGATACATACGGATGGCCAGCATTCCCATCATCAACACCCAAGGCAGGCATGGGTGCATGATTGATGATGGTTGACCCTCAACACCACCCCACCACCTAAGGAACAGCCTTGAGGGCTGCTGCTCGCAGATGAGCTCAAAGCAGGGGTCCTTGAAGCACCCGGCACCAATGCCGAAGGGGTAGTCGAAGGTAATGTTGCCACATTTCTTGGGACAACCGGTGAGCGACGCTGCCGCCGTGGGAGCAAGTAATATTAGGAGCAGATAGACTAGCACTGCCGCATCAAGATGAACGGCGTCCATAGCCACTAGCGAGCAGCAACGTATATGGTGCCGGACGAGCAGTGTGACTGTTGTATATATAGTATATGATCCGATCCCTCATGGAACAACTAGCTAGCATCTGCATGCACTTCATAGGACGACATGCATGTGTAACATATGTGACCGGCATCAAGGACGACGGTCCAGGCCAATTATCTGTGGGGCGGGCTGCCATTATTATTGTAGAAACTCAGTGCTCTCATAGGCTAGATGGTGTGGTGTGTGCATGGGCCTGCATCTGCCGCCCTATGAAGGATCCATCAAAGGACAGCGCGTGCAGTGGGCATCCAGTGTCTACATGCATCTAATGGAATAATCGTCAAATTCTATTCAAGTCTTTACTTTTGTTTGAAAACACGCATGACAAACGACGGAGAACGGGACCCTGCAATTGCTACTCAGTGGCCTTAGCTTCATCATGAACAAATCGTCGTCATCCATGAGGTCCCTGTAATTGGAAGAGCCATGCATGCAGTTTCCGGTCAGTACGTAGTCTTATTAGGCTCCACGTGATGAACCCTCGAATTTTCATGGTCCTGTAATCCTCAGGATCACGTACACATATATTTCCTGGATGGAAATAGAGAGACATCTTTGCTGGCTTGGTAGTATACATGCACCTCCTACGTTTCATTAATCATCGAACTAGTAGCTCCCCGCAAAGAAAAAGGTCAAACGCTATCTTGCGCTTTCTCGCGAACTTCTCAAGTGTGCACATTGGAGAATCGATGGACTAGTTGCACACAGAATTTTCAAAATATATATGATATGGTTTTTGTGGTTTTATCATATTTTGTCTGTCAAAATCTGCGATCCCTAGGCCATCACCATGAAGGCCGTTAGATTTGTGTCATGATTGTGTAGTTGACATGATCTGTTCTATTTGGTTTTTGCTCCTTTATCGATATCAACAGTGAATCGAAGACTTCCCGGCTAGGAAGACAAGAAACAATCAATTACTCGATAAGGTTAGGATGCCTATCTTTTTGAACGGTAGCTTTCAGACTTTTGGCTTAAAATCTAGTTTCTGGTTTTCGGGTTTCTAGCTTTTGGCATTTTGATTGACTTTTGTAATAAATTTTTAGCTTCTTAGCGTACAAAAAAAAACTCCTCTTAGCGCCAAATCAATCAAATCTCTTTCCAAAATTGTCAAATTGAAACGTCAGTTTTCTTATATCTCTTAATCCATTAACAAAATCAAGAACGGATTGGTCACGCCCTAGTCTAATCGATGTCAATCATGACAACTTCATCTCATTGGTTTCATTACAAAAGGGGCTCATGCAATCCCTTTTCTAATTCTGCCTAAGAACCAATGGAACGAGATGGCAAAAAATTAACCAAGGAAAAGTGGCCTCACGATGGCAAGGCGATGGGGCTCAGTTGCCTCTCCTGGATCTAACAGGAGGCGATGGAGGGGCGGTGGAGAAGATGAGTCAGAAAGGTGCGCGGCGGTGGCCATGAGCGCCGCCCTGCACTCGCACGGCCGAAAGAGACAAGGCAACCGTGCTAGGCGCACGTCCCCACGGCCAGGAGCACCGACCCGCACTGGCTGCGTCCGAGAGAGGCTGGACGAGAGGCCTGGAGCTCATGGAGGCCAGCAGCATCGACGAGGTGTCCGACGCACGTCTAAGGCCGCAGCGTCGGTGAGGTGAGTTGGCGGCACACGTGGACGAGCTATGGCCGGTGACAGAAACGTGAAGAAGAAAAAGAAAGAACGAATCAAAATCCTGGTGTATAACCAGAGGTATGGTGGGTAATTTCGCTCAACTACATGAAATAGGAGTTTTTTATTTAGAACATTCCTTGAAGAGCTCTATTGATTTCATGGATCTGGCAGTTAGATTTATGTTTTGGTAGATGTGTAGTTGGTGAAGATGAAGGTGTTTGGCTACCAAAACTAGGAGTGGAACTAAGTTTTGTAGATCAGGAGCTCGTGGAGCTATCCCAGACACCCCTTAATTTGCTTGCCAGTGTAGTTTACAATGAACCTTCCCTAGTTTGTTTGCCAGTGCAGCTTGTAATGAACCTCTCTGCTGCACTTATTTTGAGATTCTGGGTTGATGGATCGGGGACTGACTCGTTGTTAGCAAGGTAATAGATAGTATGGCATCCCCAATTCAGATCCAACACTCCTTCAAGAAAGCCATCAAACCCTTTTCACCATGGACAAGAATTACATGTTTGGGTTGGGTGAAAGGAATTCTATGAGGTCCATGATTCCTTTGGAGTCAGTGTGCGGACTGAATGCTAGCTGATGGATCTGGTGGAAAGAACCAAGTGTCAAGTGATTGCATACGAGAGAAGTTAAAATAGTTGCAGAAGTTATGTACCCAATTTCAGTTAATTCAGAGAACCAGAGAAGAGATAAATGTGTATTAAAGAAACAATAACATTCAATGTGAGAAGCAGGAGAAATGCCAATGAACTTCACAGAAACCCAATCCTTTCACTATGTTTTTTCCACCGTTAAGTTGAGCATTTCAACCTTCGCAAAAATGTTGAGCATTTGAAAATGATATTCCTTCAGACGCGCATACATAGAGAAACGCAGGGAGACCCGACCGCTCCAGGGAGCGCCGCCGCCGCCGCCGCCAGGGGATCTCGCGGCTCCAGCATCCCTAGCCCAAAAACTCTTGGATTTGAGCTCTCCTCTTCAAGCTCTCTACATCCATCCCTTTTGTGGCTCCTCTCGCTGCGCGCACAGGGAGATCAGGAAGCTCTTCACCGCAGCTGTCGTCGGTCGCGATGTGAGCAACAGGCCAAGCTCTCGCTCGTCGCGCCACTCGCGGGGGCCGCTCCCAGGCCGGCCGCCCGCTCGCCGGCGCCACTCCTCGGCCGACGGCGCCGCACGCGGGCGCCGCTCCTAGGCCGGCCGCCTGCTCGCGGGCGCCACTCCTTGGCCGGCGGCGCTGCACGCGGGCGCAGCTCTCTCGGCCAGGTGGACGCCGCTCCCCGGCCGTGCCGCTAGTGGGCGCCATTCCTCTACTGGCGGTGCTGCACGCGAGCGCTGTTTCCCGGCCGTGCCGCACGCGGGCGCCACTCCCCGGCCAGGCCGTGTCTGCACATCCTCCTCTACGACTCTGTCGCGGACTCAACGGCACGAGCGAGGCTGTGCACGTGAGCAGAGGTGGAGACTGCGGCCACGCTGCTACCGCCCCCGGTTCCAGTGCGCCTCTCCGTCGACGTCCTCTTCATCGCCGGATCTGCCGACACGCCCGAGTTCGAGTTTGGCGTATTCGGCGACGACTCATCCGCGTCGTGCTCTCCGTCAACTCTCTCGGTCACGCCTCGCCAACTTTCTCAAAATTCGTCAGCACCACCGCTAGGGAGAACAAGCTGCCTGGGTCTGCTCCAACTCTGTGTCGTCGTCGCCCCCGCCGCCACTACCGTCATTCATCCTTTCAGTCGTCTATACTCCGACAAGGTATCCTACGTGCAGCTGCAACATTCTTCCTTCGACATGCTTGCCAGCAAGTGAGGTGAGTTGTGGTCATGTCAATGGAGGCTCCAGTGCTTGACTCGGAAGATCATCCCCGCCTTCACCCATTCGAGCTCCGTGTGGATCAATCATCGTCGCCGCCACATGTACCAAAGTCAGAGCGCAGTCTGGCCTTCAAGAGATGGGCCCGAGGCAGGTGTTACCGTTGCCTTGCACGTGATCACCAAGTCAACTTGTGCCGAGACTCCTTCCGTTGCATTGGATGTCGTCGTCCTGGACATCGAGAGAGGAATTGTCGTCCCTAAGAGCCCGCTCCTCCTTCGTGCAACCCCAACCTCAACGCCCTCAGCAAGCTCATAGTTGGGCAAATGTCGTGGCCATGCCTCCATTGAAGAGTACAGTGGGGTCTTCGTCTTCTTTGCCACAACAACTTTGCAATCAGTCATCAGAGTCACGTCCAATTCCTGCTCATCATAGCTGTTGCTGTGCTACTTCTGCTTCGACGACTTTGGACCTCCGGTCCTTGATTACACCTTTGGTGGAATCTTTGCGATCAGAACTCCAACAGTTGTTTGCTGCTCGTTTGGAGGAATTCTGAAGAAATTTGGATGGTTTGGAGAAATGCTGGATGAATTTGTGAGAGAAAAACACTATTCCGGATGAAAAAAAGAAGTGGATCAAGCCGGGTTTAAGGGCACGCGAACGGGGCCGAAGTGTTGCGCCGTCTTAGAGACGATATTTCTAACATCAAGTTGTGGTTAGCACATATGGCCAACCATTTGGAGGGGTGGATCCTCTAGAAGATCATACTTCAGCCAACATGGCTGAGCTCTTTGGGCCATGTTCTCCAGTTCAGCGCTCTCCAACACTGTCGGTCCTCACTTCTCTTGCTACGGTTTGCACGCCTACCAACTCTATGGCGTGCGAGGACATATCAGCAAACACTAACTGTCATTGAGGATATGCCCACAATGATCATAGCTTCAGAGATTCATAGAGAGACGGATCCCATCATTAATGAGGTGGTTACAAGGACGTTCTACAAAGTAGAGATCTCCAAGTTTCAGGGAAAACAAACGTTGATGCAAGCTATCACCTCTGTTGAGGATATTGTTCTTGTGGAGGATGCATCAGATGATGAGGAAGCTATCCCAGATGCACAAGTGACACATGAAGACCTATCTTTCTTATCACCGTCGAAGATGCCTCTACCCTATCTACAACTAAGGTCAAGGTGGAAGAGCCACCGTTATCAGAGGATCCATTGATTGTGCCTTCTTCAGTGACGTTTGTTTCGAAGGGTGAGGATCTTGCATGCCCTGTTATGCGTCCCTCCTCATCACCAACCACGACAACAAGACGTCGACGCAAGGCCTATGACAAATCATCACTTCGTCGAAGTGCCCGCCTTGCGCAATGCAGTGTCTTAAAAGATTTGGGCATTGTTGGGATTGATGGGAAACTCAATGAGAGCGCGATTGAAGACTACGCAGACCGCCTGCAACAACTGTTGTCGCTAGACCTTCTCAAGCCATTG